CTTTCATTCCATCTTATTTTGTTACTAGGAAAGCTCAAAGTTGAAAGTTTTTGAGTTATTTTTGTCATATTACAATGAAACATTACAGGATAATGATCAGACTGATAAACACCATATGCAACTGAACAGCTGCTAATCAGTTCTGCAGCCGCACCCGTCACGACTCCATGGTCTAACCAGCGCCGCGAGCCACTGGCCTGACATACAAAGGTGTGGGTGTCTTTAGGAAGGAGTTCATAGTCCACACAGGTCAACTCCTGGTCACTACATATAGAAATTAGTTCACGAAAGAAACGAGAGCCAGGGTGTGCATTGAAATCGCCCAGTATAACAACAGACTCTGTATCATTACTATCAATTATAGCTATTATCTCACTAAGGCATTGTGTAAATTGAATTAGATTGTCACTCTTACCGTTCTCATAAGGCATATAAATGGAGAATATTAGAAAGGGACGATTATCACACACAGTTTTGATAGCCACTAAACGATCACTTTCACACTTAACAATAGACACCGATGGAAATATTGCCCTCCTCCACATGAGAGCCACTCCCCCATAAGGTCTCCCCGTGATGATTTTGACCGACGTATCCATCGCTGACTTACTTATGCATGAGAAACCATCATCCAGTTTGTCCAGGAAACCCATATCATGAGGCCAGAGCCACGTCTCTTGAAGTGCTATGATGTCGGCACTTTTACATATATTTCTCACCGAATCAACAGATCCTTTTACACCTTTACAATTAAAAGTAGCTAAAGTTATTCTTGTATTATCAGGCACAATCATTTTTGGTTTTATTTATTTTTTTTTTCCTGTCTGGAGCCTTAACATCGTTTTTGAAAAATATGAATCGTCTAAAACGTATTCCTTCCGGCCAAAGAGTGTCATCCAAGAAAGTATCTAATTTATGACTATTAACAAATACTTTAAAAGCATTATAGGGCTTGTCCGACTTCATATTTATCTTTTCTACTTTTACATTAGTCCGAGTCTTCTTTTTTATATAATCTGAGATGTCTTTTTCCGTGGTTTGTTTACCAACATTAGATATAAACAAAGGTGTGTAGTACTCCGCAGCTTTGAAAGCACCTAAAGGGGACGATAATGCCCGGCCCGTCCTTCCCACGAAACGATTTTTTGATTTTTTATTGTTAACAATCTTCCATTCACCATCATTTTCTGTAAGGCCGCCCGCTTCAGTGTTATCATATTTTTCCAAAGTGGGAACTTTGGCTAAACAGTCTATAACACTCTTATTAACATTACTTTCTAACAATGTCGAATCTAAATTCGTAGACACGACAGTGCTATACGTGGCGCCGTTTGCGTGACAGAGAGAGCGATACTTAGGTGTATTATTTACATCCGTAATCACATTATCTGCATGATAGCTCATTTGTAGTTCAGGCTGCTCGTTTGTGGAATGCCTTGCCAGAAGCAATCAGAGGTGCTAAAACATTAGCTTGTTTTAAAAGAATGTTAAAAGAACATTACTTGACATTTTAGCAGGTCGTCACATCATCCAAAATATGATTGAAGTGTTAGTGTCTTTATAAATAGATGTATTATGTTTATGTATTTGTATTTTATTTTATTTTTTGTTGTACATAATTATTTATAAGTGTTATTAATGGTAGTTGCACTTTGAATGACACCATCTACTTCCCACTCTTTATGTAACAGTCCAGTTAACATACGGTTGCCTGGAAGAAATTGCTTCTAAGCGATAAGGCCGCCGTTTGTACTATTATGTAATAGTTTTAATTAATTGTAATTTAAAAAATCATGGTGTACAATAAAGTGATCATTCATTCATTCATTCATTCATATTTGTAGTGGCGCCTTCGTCGTGTACGCTCGCCTGCGACTCGGGCACGGACGGCAGTGACGTCGGTGAGACATCAACGGCTGTCTCGGAAACATGCGATAGTCCAATCGGCCCACTATCCATCACAATATACCCACCTCTTCTCGTATTGATGTTCGAGTTATAGCAACAGTTATTCATGCTACATATTATTTTATATAACTGTTTATTAATTAGATGCTTTTGTAATTTTTATCTTTAACTGTACTGTATATTGCGATACCCTGACAGGGTTCATGTTAGGTACTATAAACATTTTGTAACCATCGATGTAACCACATGAGTGCAATAAATTGAATTGAATTGCTATTGTTATTGATCTTTATATTTTCCAATTCTTCTTTCGTAAGATTTATTAATTACTCTTTATTTTATTCACATCTTCACGTGACAACAATAAATCTCTCAACAACTTAGTTACATCAACATGATCGAAACAAATAGGGGGTGACTTGTCCAAATTGTATGCCACAAATATAGGTATTTGATCCGGTTCAGCAGTTTCTAGCACTGCTAAGATGTCTTCTAAGTCCTTTTCTTTCTTTCTTTTACGCCTTGACACGAACTTATGTTTTGTTTTCAGCGAAGTAAATAACAACTGTTTCGAACATTCAATGTCTTCTTCCGAAAACGCCGATTCACAGATCCTAATAAGGCTTTCATTATCCATAACATCCAGTTTATTATGGATGAACGCTAATACTTCAGATATAACCACATTACAGTTCACGCACTTAATCGTATTCACATTGTTTACACTCATGTTTGCCGATTACTAACGGGGCGACACGTCGCTACCGCGCTCGCAGTCGGAATGATTTCAGTTGGAGAGAGAGACAAATCATAGACACATATTTGGGAGTAGACGACCCGTCTATCATCTATGAGCAATTGTCAAAACAACATTTTAAAATTAGATATAGTTGAGAACTCATGTAAGTACCTGGTAGAGTGTTATGAATGTCTGATATTCATATAATTATAACATTTCATGTCAACTTGTTGATTTATATAAACTTTAACTTCAAACTACTGTATTCAGCTTAGATATTTAGTCAGTAAAACATAGTTAAAACATTTCATGTCAACTTGTTGAAGTTATACTTCTTTAGCCGCGTTATGAAAAAATTATGAGAGTGAAATTTTCATCACTGTAACACAAAATTTTAACATAATGAAGTTAGCCGCGGGCGCGTTATTTGTAATATTTTATTTTCCAAGTGACCGTGGGGCAGATTTGAACAAAGCAAACAGGGCAGATTTGAACGGGACATTGAAATGAAATGAAATGATGTGATATGAAATGAAATGAAATGATGTGATATGAAATGAAATGAAATGAAATTTCATTTCATTTCATTTCATTTCATTTCATTTATTATTAATTTATTGTAATTAATTATTTGCATGCAATTAAAAACTAATTTTAAACGATGCCAAAGAAGGATAACTTCTCACGCGCCTACATAAGTACACGCACCCATTTTTTTTGATTTATATAAACTTTAACTTTAAACTACTGTATTCAGCTTAGATATTTAGTCAGTAAAACATAGTTGAAACATTTCATGTCAACTTGTTGATTTATATAAATTTTAACTTTAAACTACCTGTATTCAGCTTAGATATTTAGTCAGTAAAACATAGTTGAAACATTTCATGTCAACTTGTTGATTTATATAAACTTTAACTTTAAACTACTGTATTCAGCTTAGATATTTATAATTAGTAAAACATAGTTATAACATTTCATGTCAACTTGGTGATTTATATAAGCAATAACTTAAAACTACTGAATTCATCTGCTTTGGTATCTAAAGTTGATAAAATATACCTATAACATTATCTTAATTCTTTTGGTTTTCTTTCATTGTTTCCCCGGTGCTGCTTAAAAGAGGGCAGTGGAGGAGAATCTAACATCACAAGCGAAGGGTGCGGGTTCCAATCCCGTCTGCTGCCTGGTCCGCGTGGAATTTTTTCTTGTAATAATTTCTTTAGATTTAAATAAACATTTCCAATGCTCACACCAATTAGCCTAGCCCCAAGGCACTGTAGGCTTATGTTATGGGATACTAAGGTAACGGATAGAATACATATATATAGTTACCATACTCCTTCGAAACGGCCTGACCGATTTTTATGAAATTTTATATACATATTCCGTGGGTCTGAGAATCGGCTACTATCTATTTTTCATATCCTTAAGTGATAATGGTAGTCCACCTGTAACTTAGTGTTCTTAAACCTACAATGCGCCTTCGCGCCAAAATTCAAACTATTGGGTATTGTAACGTAGTGTTCTCATATGGGTTAGGAGGAATGTTATCCCAGGAAATTGAGAGAACACACCACTAAAATTTTTTTGGACAATATATTTTTTTTATAATATGGTATTAAAAAATACATACAACCCTAAATTTTCTCTTCTACCACCTGCCCCTATTTTTATGGCGGTACGAAGTTCGCTGGGTCAGCTAGTATAAGTATATTTATATAGAAATACATATAAAACACCAATGAATTTTTTGTCATTATTTACGTATAAATTCTGTAATTCTAAAGGTAGCTTTTTTAAATAATAAGGTAGCTAACAATTGCAAAAACTCCTGTTTCCTCTCAAGTCAATATAAGATTTATATATTTACTAGCGGACCCGACAGACGTTGTCCTGTCGACACGTCTTTAATTTGAAAATTTCAAACTTTTTTTAATAAGCTAAAACATTCTGGACCATTTTGATGAAAATTACCATTCTCAGATCCCCTTGAACACACACAAAAAATTTCATCAAAATCGGTCCAGTCGTTTAAGAGAAGTTCAGTGACATACACACTCACAGAAGAATTATATATATAAAGATTTGAGACTGCGATAGTAGCGCCGTCTGTCGGATCCAATGTAAAACATTCCAAAATCAACAACTACTAATAAATTAAAAATTAATTAAAAAAACATTGTACAGCGGACAAAATTGTGAATCTAAACCATTCTCAGATCCCCTTGAACACACACAAAAAATTTCATCAAAATCGGTCCAGTCGTTTAAGAGAAGTTCAGTGACATACACACTCACAGAAGAATTATATATATAAAGATAAGTAAATGTGTGATATAATTAAACTAACCTATTGGCTCTGCCACGTATGGCACCGGCGGTTCTCTCCAAAGAATCAGGGTCGGCTTCTTGCAGAGCCACCACGCACTTGTTCACGTCTTCCAGGATATGATTCTCTGTGACGAACAAACAAACAAACAATGGATAGTTAGTACTACTTCTTCCAGGATATGATTCTCTGTGACGAACAAACAAACAAACAATGGATAGTTAGTACTACTTCAACTATCACAATAAAATAATTAAAATACAATAAAACTAGTTTAAACGGGATAATGCACGAAACTTTATTTATTTATTGACGTTTCGTAGCCTTTACAGGCTTCGTCGTCAGAATAAAACTTTTGTTTAATTTGTCGAGCTACCTTCGAAAGACTTTTTAAAAGTCTTAGGTAGCCGTTTAAACTAGTTTTATTTAATGAGTGATTTGCGTGAAAACCTAAGAAACAAATAATTAAAATACAATAAATTAAATTTATTTCGAGCAACATAACTCATAATCATTACTATAGAAATAGGTACAATAGCCATCATTGGTCGAGTTCTCCATAAGTAGGTAGTTTGAATTTATTTCGTTGATACAGCGAGTGAAGGGTGAGTGGATAGTGAGTTGAAGATGACAGAGAGTTGTCAGTGAGATACAATAAGTTACTGAGTGAGTTACAAGTAAGTGGACTGCGAGTGGACAGTGAGTTGACAGCGAGTGAATAGTAAGTTCACAGTGAGCCATCAGTGAGATGCCAGAGAGTTGCGCCAGTGAGTCGACAGTGAGTTCACAGTGAGTTGCCGGTGAGTTGACACGTTGTCGGGCCGCGTTTATACAGCGCGTGTGTTGCCAGTGAGTTGCCAGTGAGTGGACAGTAAGTTGGTGAAGAGTAAACAGTTAAGTGATGGTGAGTGGATACTGAATTGTAGTTGACTGCCAGTTGCCAGCGAGTTATTTGTAGCCAGTAAGTTGATTGTAAGTTGCTAGTGAGTTGACTATGAGCAGACAGTGAGTTGATGATAAGTTGTCATTGGGTGAGTTGCCAGTGTGTCGACGGTGAGTTGCCGCTGAATTGACAGCGAGTTGCTAGTGAATCATTAGTGAGTTGTCAGTAAAATTTTAAAGAGTCTACAAATCGTTAGCGAATCGTCCAGCGTATCTTTGTTTTATAGTACACATATACTCACCGCTAACAGCCTGGAAGTCATCAATGGTAGTGATATTATCGACAGCATCGGTCGACAACTTGACGTGTGTTTCCCAGGCTCTAGCGAAGGCGTTGGCGTTCTCTTGTCATTATTATAGTGTGTATGTGTTTTAGTCGGCGGTGAGTAATTAGTGAGTTGATATTGAGTCAACAGTGAGTTGCCAGCGAGTTGACGGTGAGATGCTAGTGAGTTGACGGTGTGTTGACTATGAGTAGACAGTGAGTTGACAGAGTTGACAATAAGTTGCCAGAGAGTTGACAGTGTGTTGATACAAAGTTGCCGTTGGGTGAGTTGCCGCTGAATTGACAGTGAGTTGCTAGTGAATCATTAATGAGTTATCAGCATGTCTTTGCTCTATAGTACACATATATTCTTCGCTAGCCAGGAAATCATCAATGGTGCTGATATCATTGACGGCATCAGTCAATAACTTAACGCGTGTCTCCCAGGCTTTAGCGAAGGCGTTGCTGTTCTCTTGTCATTATTATAGTGTGTAATGTTGTAGTCGGCGGTGAGTCGACAGTGAGTTGCCAGCGAGTTGACGGTGAGTTGTCAGTGATTAAGGGTATTTGACAAGTTTTTGAAAACGATCTCATGTTATTTACTAATGTTTATAGAGTCCATTAAAAGGTGGATATTCATAATTATGTTGTGTATTTCGGTAGAAAAAGTAAACCAAAAACTCTATTTTCAAGTTGCCGCGAAAACGTATCTCTGGACAATATGGCATCTCACTGGTGTGTGACGTTACACGACTGTCATTAAAACGTCAAACCATACAATCAAATGTCACTTTAACCGGAAGTTTACTTGCGTGTGACGTCATTTTAGGCTCCACCAATCCCAAGCGTTTTGGGTTCACGTGACAATAGACTAGAAAACTATGATCATTATCGCGGGTTTCTGTAAAATTATGAATATTTTTTTCTGTAAAAATAGTAAAAACTCCTGCCAATATTCATTCTAAATACAGATGTTAACAATTAGCACTTTCTTTTTAATACTGTCAAATACCCTATTGACGGTGAGTCGTCCGCGAGTAGACGGTGAGTTATAAATGAATTGTCAATGAGCCATGCGGTAATTTGTGAGTTGTCAGTGAGCAGAAAACCATCACTGTGTGTTAGTTGTATACTTTTATTAGTATTATATTGGTGTCAATTCTGGCCTGATTCTCTAAACTTAAAACTAAATTTAACATCAGTCTCTCCTTTTCATTCCGTATAGAGAATAACAAGGATACACTGGTGTCGATTCTGACATGATTCTCTAAATCTAAACTTAAATTTGACAACAGTATATCCTTGTCTCTATGCACAATGAAAAGGAGTGACCGATGTTAAATTTAGTTTTAAGTTTAGAGAATCATACCAGAATCGACACCATCGTTGTCAAAATTAAGTTTAGATTTAGAGAAGCGTGCCAAAGTGTGTCTGTTGAGAGGGGTGTTTCGTGTATATAATGTTTGCTCACCGCTAACAGCCAGGAAGTCATCAATGGTGGTGATATCATCGACGGCATCGGTCAACAACTTGACGTGCGCCTCCCAGGCCCTAGCGAAGGCGGTGGCGTTCTCCTGAGCGACGCGGGAGCGGGGCCGCGCCGCTAGCACTCGGGCCGCGTTTATTACCTGACAACATAATCACTAATAAATCAATATTATCATTTTTAGGGGTTCCGTACTGTAACGTCCGGTACGTTACTACCTCCTTGTTTAGGGAAACTCTTTGCTTTTGCAATGCCTACGGTTGGCAGTTATATTAAAAAGTTAATACAGTAGAACGCCGATTATCCGAACGCCGATTAACCGAATCGCCAATTATCCGAATCGGTCCTAAGCGTAATATAAAAAATTAAAACCAAGTCATTTTTGTTTTGTTCTAATAAGTTGGAACTCGCTAAAGTCCAGCGAGTATGTTAAATACCTATATATATTTATATCAACTGTTAATGGTTGAAAGCTAGAGGCAAGACACTACATGTTTTACTGTTCTTAATTTTGTTTTGCTACTATGTACCTCTATTATTGTATCTAGTATTGTAGAACTGTGTTTGTTAAACGTAATAAAGTTTATTATATGTGTGGCAGTTCGTTTTTCTTTATTACTTGTCTATGTCCGATTATCCGTATTTTCGATTATCCGAATCGACCCCGGTCCCAATTAATTCGGATAATCGGCGTCCTAATGTATCATGATTTTAGATTTGAAATAAGGAATCGTCTGTCTTTTGATAGAAGGTTCCATTCGAGAGTAGATCTTCAGGCACCAAACAAACCTCTCGTATTTAGATAAAAATCATTATATTCGCCTGAATGAAATAAATATCTTATCTCTACCAGTATCTTTTAATTAGTAATTACGTCCCCAGGTTCTATCCATTCTGGTTAGAACTCCATTAGAGCTCCTCGAAAGGAAAAAACGGAACCCTTATAGGATCACTTTGTTGTCCGTTTGTCCGTCTGTCAAGAGCGTTTTTCTCAGGAATGCGTGGACGTATTAAACTGAAATTCATATTTAATAGTCAGGTCTACTGTCCCTTGGAGCTGTGAAAAATCAAATTTCTAAGCCAAAGCAACGACTGCAGATGCAGCCGGGACCAACGTCTTGACGTGCTTTCCGAAGCACGGAGCACGAAGATAGAAGATTTTCGGTCACCAATCCAATAACCGATCACTGCGAAAGTTGCTTAACTTCAACGATCGCAGCCAAAGCACATGCGCCATCGAGCTTCTCACGAGCGATACTCATAATAATAAGATAATCATTTATTTGACGCACGAATAGACAATTACAATTTTTGACGTAATTTTAACATGTTATAAAACGATGAACACCGGCTGCACGCACGAGAAACTGTCACGTTCCACCTTTAACGTTTAGGGGGATGAAAAATAGATGTTGTCCGATTCTCAGACCTACTGAATTGATATTGACCTACATATAAAATTTCACGAAAATCGGTAGAGCCATTTCGGAGTAGTTCCATTACGCACACCGTAACACGAGAATTGTATATATTAGACTAGCGGCCCGCCCTCGCTTCGCTGTAGTCTTCTGTAGAGCTGTAGTGTAGACTACAATTTTTGTTCTCAGGCTTGTATTATACACAATGACATTCATCTATGATTCTTCTTATACCTGCATGCAAAGTCTCAGCCCGATCGGTTTAAAATTGACAAAGTTTCATACAAACTTTCATTCCCTATTTTATCCCCTTGGGGGTAGAATATATCAAAATCTTTTCTTAGCGGATGCTTACGTCATAACATCTACCTGCATGCCAAATGTCAGCCCGATCCGTCCAGTGGTTTGGGCTGTGCGTTGATAGATCACTATGTCAGTCAGTCAGTCACCTTTGAGTTTTATATATATAGATAATAATACATTACCTGCGGGCATAGAGCCTCAATTTGTCCGGCGGCGTGTCGTACCATTTTCACTCCGTCTTCATTATTGGACATGGAGCATACTAAATTCGCCACCTGGATAACAAAATATATGGATACATTAACATTTTGCAATACATAATTTAGTTTTATGTATGTTTTTTTTTTATACCTAGTTTAGTTTTATATCATTAATTTTGACAGAAATAAGAGTTGTGTATGCCTGTAACTGTTTTTGCACAACTCTATGTATAACGTATGTTTTTTTTTTTAATTATATTGGGTGTAAAAATGTTGGCATGCCTGATAAATAAATAAATACATTTTGGGTGTAAACGCCATTAATGAACTTTTCTGTCGAGGACAGCGACAATGAAAGAATTATATTTAAAACAGATATAATACAAAATAAAATTGTACATTTATGAGATTAGGAGATTTCTAATAGGCTAGTTGACCCTTTTTGGAAAAAGGTTTTAAATGGTTAACAAATGTTCTATTAGAGCGAAAAAAAATGTATTGTATTTTTTTGAGACCTAGAAAGCTACAAATCTTTAATTTTAAAATAGACTTTTCATGGACATACAAAAACGCTGTCGGCCATTTTAGTCTATAGATTATCATCTATGCTATTACTTCAACCGGTAGTAAACAAAAACTCGTAAGCAAGTAGAAAATAACCTATCTGTGTTTATAGTAAAAAAAAAAACATGATTTCTAATACATACCACGAAAAATATAGTAATTATCATTATTGTATTGTACGAGTATGTAAAAACACATCCTTGAAGACTCCAGGAAAGTTGTGGATTAAAGTGCCGAAAGAAATTAACCTACGCAATACCTGGTTAGAACTTGCTAAAAGGGATCCTGCAACTTTATCGACTCATAGTAAAATTTATTTTTGCGAAGATCACTTTGTATACCAGGGTCGATAATTTTTGAGACCAAAAAAAATTATAGTAGGATGAAACCCATTGGAAATGCCCAAAAATGAAAGGAAAAATAACCTACGGGCGATCTGAGGTCGGGAAGGGGGAGGGGGTGAGTTTTTAAGGGTAAAAACCGGTTAATCTCGATTTCCGGTAAAACTGCAAGTCCTATGAAAAAAAGTTAAATGGCAAAGTTGTAGGTACTAAAAAGATGTACAACTTTTGTATCGACACTTTTTTCACATAACCTCAAAATCTATGTGAAAAATTCGAATAACCGAGTTTTTAGTTTTTTATTTTTATCTTTTGCAAAAAAAAATTCTTTCACGAAACTTAGTGAAAACTTACCTTTGTATGCCCCAAACATACAGTAATTTTTTTGATTTAAAATATTCATTTTTTCACCTTATTTTGACTTAATATCGAAAAAGCACCCATACCATCAAAGAGTAGAGATTTCAGAAACAATAAACACACCACCTTTTTTAAAAAAGCAGATATTTTGACGTGAGAATCTTCGATTGAAAATAAGGGTGCTTTTTCGATATTAAGTCAAAATAAGGTGAAAAATTAATATTTTAAATAAAAAAAAAATGCTATATATTTGGGACATACAAAGGTAAGTGTTCACTAAATTTCGTTAAAAAAAATATTTTTTTTGCATAAAATAAAAATAAAAATCCAAAAACTCGGTTATTCGAATTTTTCACATAAATTTTGAGGTTATGTGAAAAAAGTGTCGATACAAAAGTTGTAGATCTTTTTATTACCTACAACTTTGCCATTTAACTTTTTTTCATAGGACTTGCAGTTTTCCCGGAAATCGACATTAACCGGTTTTTACCCTTAAACACTCACCCCCTCCCCCTTCCCGACCTCAGATCGCCCGTAATTTATTTTTCCTTTAACTTTTGTTATATTCTCTACCTTTTCTAATGGGTTTCATCCTACTATATTTTTTTTTCACCTTTCACCATTTTTAAAATTATCGACCCTGGTCTATTTGATGTAAGTACTCATTGAATAATATTTTAAGTATCTTCATTTATTATCAGTTTTAATAATACAAGTTTTAGGGTAATGTATGAATGACATTTAGTTGTTTACTACCAAAGAGACGTCACAATCATGGCGGACGTGGCGAACAGCGTTTTCAGTGTTTAAAAAGTATAGACTAAAAATTATTTTAGTAAATTAAATTTCTACAGCAATCTTCTGCTTTTATGAAGTGAAATCGATATATTTAGGTTCCTCAGACCAAATACTTTAAGAAATGAACATTTATTTAATACAATTCTACATGAGTCAACTAGCCTATTAAACATTAAAAGTTGTTTATTATGGCCAGTGATAGAAATTTAGGTCACCAGTTGGCGCCACTGTGGCGTGAGGTCTTTTTTACGAAGTTTTTGGCGCGAACTCCATAGACCAGCTCTATAGACTATGGGTACGGCCAGAGTGCACTCAGATTCAGATTCAGACTCAGAAAACAAGCGCGAGAAATAAACAGTGTACATAAAGCAGGGTGGCCATAGTGGCAGCAGGAGGCCTACTCTAATTCAACGAAAAACGAAATTTCGATCGAAACTTCGCACTTTTCTTACTATGTTTCTGGTTCGTTTTTAATTATAATAATTTATTTATTTATTTATTTTTATTTATTTATACTTAATGCACAAGTGTACAAAGGCGGACTTAATGCCATAGGCATTCTCTACCAGTCAACCATAGGGTGTTGTGGATAAATAGTGGTAGGGTGCACAAATTAGATGGAAAAAAAAGACGAACAGATATAAATACGAAGTAGTCATATACATAATTACACATACATAAATAAGTACTTACATATAAATAAACATACATAATATTCTTCGTCGGAATATAGATTGAGGTATAAATTTTTTAAGCCTACTCAAATAAAGCTTCAATTTGATAGTTTATCGTTCAAGTTAAGTATAACCTTAAATTGACGAAATTAAATTTCGTTTGAACTTCGTTATCGAAAGTTCGTTTCGGAGAAAGAGAGTAGACCGCCAGGCCCGCGCAGGTTTCGGAGTCAGACACTTTACCGGAATGTTTAGGTCATTCAGATTCTGAATTCACCAGCGCCGCTCGGACTGCGAGTACGGTTGGCAACGCTCCTATAAAATATAGTATCCTACTTTAATAGGGGATCAAATACTATATTTCTAAAAAATACGTAGTAGGCGAAATTACTAAATTTTGTTTAAAGCATATTTTTAACAGTAAAAGCTTTCTTAAAAAATATTAGAGATTGTTATTATAAACCGACTTAATATCAACATGGAAAAAACCAAGATCATGCAATTTCATTCTTACCAAAGTAAACCTCTGTCTGTTAAACCATGTCATAATAAGGTTCTTATTGAAAGAGTTGAATCTTTTAAATTTCTTGGTACAATTGTTGATAAGAATTTAAACTGGAAATGTCATATCGATTCTGTCTGTTCGAAAATAGAAAAATTCGTTTTTGCCTTAAAAAGGTTGAGACAAACAGTATCGACAGAGGCTGCGCAAATGGCTTACCACGGATATGTTTCATCCGCCTTAAGTTATGGACTGCTCTTATGGGGTAACTCAGTAGATATCGATAGGGTTTTTAGGATGCAAAAAAAAATGCATTAGAATGTTAGATGGTGCTTGGTTTCTCGAAAGCTGCAAACCCTTATTTAAAAAATTTGAAATACTTCCATTGCCCTGCATGTACATAAAGGAAGCATGTTTATTTGTCAGGGATCACAGCAAGTATTTCGAGAAGCACGTAGAAATGAGCAATAGACACACGAGATGTCAATATAGATACTTATTATATCAGCCTCCTTGCCACGCATATATTTATAAAGTTAATGCTTATAACATGTTCATATGTATATATAATAAATTACCTGACAATATAAAATTAGAAACTGGGACACTGTTTAGAAGTAAGTTGACAAAATGGTTACAAAAAAAATGTTGTTATAGTATTAAGGAATATATGACAGATGAAAAAAATAACTGACTGCAATATTTGCACACCTGCCTGCAGGTAGAATACACGTACTTACTTAATATGTATCAACTTGTGAACTGTATTTTGGCAAATAAATTAAATTATTATTATTATTATTATTAATATTAGTAAGGCAAAGAGCAACAAAAATATATTTATTTAAAAAATAAAGTAAAGTACCACATACTGGTGTCGATTCTGGCACGATTCTTTAAATCTAAACTTAAATTTGACAACAGTGCATCCTTGCCAATCTCTCTACAGAATGAAAAGGAGAGACTGATGTTAATTCTTCATGGGAGGTTAATTTTTTTTTTAAATGTAGTAGTTAAAACGTTTCCACTCCCATCTTAAAATATTGGAAGAAACGTATCCTATTCATTTTGGTTATGATATTAAGATCCACTCTGGCTCCTGCATTCGTAGTATGTGTCAGGATTGCAGCTGTCCATCCATGACTAAGGTAAAAAATGTTAAATACCTTGGGATTATGCTCGATCAGAGACTATCTTGGCACTCTCATATTGACCTGGTTGGATCTAGAATGCGGAAGCTGATTTGGGTCTTTAAAACACTGCGATATGTAGCCACTAAGGATATGCTGAACCAGATATATGTTGCGCTGGCGCAATCAGTCTTGATTTACTGCATAAGGGTTTGGGGTGGAGCGCTGAAAACTAAATTTTTAGAGGTTGAAAGAGCTCAAAGAGCTCTGATCAAAGTTATCTATTTAAAAAAACGCGACTACCCAACTGAGCTGCTTTACTCTATGTCAGATTTACTAACTGTTATTATAACTATAATTGCTATTTCTTCTTTCAAATGTTTAATACTTGTAAAAGTATTCATTTGACATTGTGGGTTTACCTATAATGCGAAGAGATGGCGCTGCCTTGCAGCTTAAGAATAGCTAGAAGGAATTTCGACGCGGTCCGTGAGGGCCGCGGTAGCATAATTGGTCAGTGCATTCGCCCGGATTGCGAAGGGTGCGGGTTCGAGTCCCGTCTGCTGCCTGGTCCGCGTGGAATTTTTTCTAGTTATATTTTCTTTAGATTTAACTGTTAGAAAGCTATACATTCTACATGCATACAGCATGTATACGGAAGCACACAACACTGTCGTACAATCCTAGTATCGTAGAAAAAAGAAGA